AGAAAAGCCAGTTTCGAAAGACCTGAAACTGAATTGCACTAAATAAACCCTTCATGCAACCGAGGTTTGTGATAACTTTGAAGTGACTTTGAGAATTACTGAATTTACGCACACCAAACGATAGGTTTCATAATCTTGGAAGTTTTATTTGGCAGCTAAGAGAGAAATTAGTCCGATGACCTGACTGCTGAAAAAAAGAAGAGAAAGCTACATTCAACACAATCCAGTACTTGTCTTTCCTTATTCTACAGATTTGAGGAAAAGTTGAAATGAAGGACGAAAAGTTCCCATTGCTTTTGACACACCCTATTTCATATTCGCTGATTTGAATCACAGTAATGACAAACTTAATTGATAGCTATTTTTTTACTCGGTCCGCTATCTAAATCAACATTAAATTCAACCAGTGATGCGAGATGGAAAAATAATGCCATTGAATATCAGTGACCCTGCCTTACCCGCTTCCTCACAAAATTCAAACTTTTTAACGATCACAAGTAAAACTTCAGCGTTGAACTCGTTCCGGGATGCAATTAAATTAGAACCTTCAAACAGTCATCAACGGAAAGCAGATATCGAAGAATTCAAAGCTGTTAACTTTGGCTATAGCACTTACTGCAACCTATTTATTTATAGAGATTGTAAACATTTTGAATTTGTGAATAAGAACTGTAGTAACCTATGATAGTGGCTTCCTCTTTACTTCGAGCTGTGCACAGGTTTCGATTTTATGCGTAGTAATTCACTGCCGATAGCAATAGAATCAAAACGAAACCTAGATTAATCCTTTCAGTGCTGAGCTCAGAACTGATTCCGAAACGGTTTTTGCTGTGAGGATTCAGTTTGTTGTTCTTCTGAACTTTCGCAAAAGCCAAAAGTATTTTGCCTCAAAACCGTGCTGTTACAAAATTCACTCCTTACATCAATGAACTTTATTAATATAGAGCCAATTCATTGATAAGGGGGTAAAAAACACTCTATCCGATGGTTCCCTCTCCAGGTGTGATCAAAGCACTTTGAGTCAGGAGGCGTACGAATTAATACTCAAGAATCAAGGAGAGTTTTGTAGTCTATCCTGTCCTGTATACTGATTTCTTAGGCTCGATGGGTCAGGCAAAGTTCACTAAAATAAATAATCACCGCAGATGGATTTCCAAAAATAAAGCTCGTTTCCTGTCATGTGAAGCAGAACTTTGGCCTATCTGCTTTGATTTTTCAATGTTTGCATATCAAGCAACACCCCTGGAGACGAATATAATCGATTTTGAAGAAGTGTTAAATGAGCAGCGACGCGAAAAATTAAAAATAAAAATAGCTTTGGTATGTCCCCTGGTAAAGGCTGCAAGTTTTTGAGCGAAGATGAAAAGAATGGAAAATAAAAATAAGGGCGGAAAATCAAAAAAAATCGTGGAAATGAGACGACCTTCCTTACTCCGTAATCGGATAATTCTTCTCATATTTCAAGTAAAAATTAGCGAAAATACAACAACGCAATGGAATACCTTGGCTGGACAAGCCATTTCTGTTAGAATCCCAGGTGCTTAGCGACTATCATCAGGTTCGAAACCCTTGCTCTGGAACTCTTCAGTCTACTCGAAGAAAACACTCCTTTACAAAATTTTGGGATAAAGTGACATTGTGGTAATTAAGAGGAAGATAAACAGCTATTTCTCAACAAAAATTTCACAAAGTTCACTTCTTGGTGTGGTTGTGCTTTTGTAAATGTCTATACAGTACGATTCCTTCTAACAATTAGTTCTCAGGAAAAACTTAAAACTTGCTCCGTAATGTTCTGAACAGTTGTTAACACTGCAGGAAAGCATAAAATAGTTGCAAGAAGTAGTAGTACACTTCTGCACTACAGAACTATGCAAGCCTTTTTCATGGCACATACTGAACAGTTGTCGTCGATTTTCTTTTGGTATGTTTTTTCTGAAATCTATCAGGCCGTCTGTTAGATTTTGATGAATATCTCGAACGTTGTACGATCTGATGCCTTCACTTAAACCTATCAACACATCATCACACATTCGGTAAGTGATGCCATAGGGTATCAAGTAACCATCACCCAATGGGGCACAGTTCTGACCGGAGGTGCTAATCATCCACAATGACGCAATAAACAACGCAAATGGTATCTAATCTGAGTATTAGGATGACTTGGCCTAGGCTGTTTCTGACGAGCAAATGGTCTTATTGTTACTCTTGTCTATTTGTCATTGTTCTATGAATGTACAAAGAGAGAGGGGAGGGGGGGAGGTATGATTCAGACTGCGCCATTGTAGACACCGACCGTATGCTTTTCAGCTTTGAGGCCCCCTTTATTTCCGATTTCCTAAGATAAAAATGAACCTATTCAAGATTTTGCGCTTTCAATTCTTAGAAAACCATAGGACTCGTTATGACCGCTAATTTTTTTTTTAGCAATTTACTGTACAAATCCCCGTTCTCAATTCATCTTCATTTTGTCAAAAATTTCTGTCAAAATTCTAGTAACGCATTTTTTCGTTCTTTATGCTACGATTTGCTCAAATTCATAAAAGTATATCTGTTGATGCGATAAACAAATTTTGAAATCCAAGCGAATCTCTATTTTATCAAAATTTTCTGTCAAAAAATTCTACTGACTTTTTTTGTTTTGAAATCTTCTTCTTGCTGCAATCTTGCTCACATCCATAAAATGGATTTCAAGCGTTCTTTTGCTTTGTCAAAATTTTCTCTCAAAATTCTAATACTGCATTTTTTTCATTTCTTTTTTTGCTACAATGCCTGAAGCTTGCCTGATAATGCAAAAAACACAAAATTTTGAATTTCCGACATCACTGAAGTAGTCATTTCATGCCTGCAAAACCTACCCATTACTCCTAAAAACTTATTTATTTATGAGTTCGTGACGATAGAAGAAGAGTTCCCTCTCTGCTATTGTGTTCAATCTGTTTTTAGAAAATTTTGTGCAAGATCAATTTTTCTTCTTCTTAAGCCAGCCGAAAAGATTTTACAAGACTAATTTGAATTTTCGAAAAACCAAAGAATTATTGCTACTACTAAAATAAGTCACTTTTGCAATTTCAAAACTCAAGAGGCTTCTTTGAAAAGTTTGCCCCCCCCCCCTCCCCCTTCCCCCGTTACGCGATTGATGCCTAGATTGACCAAACACGTCTTTGATCTTCTGGTAGAAATCTTAGTCCATGAGACATCGTTAAACTCAGAATCTTCGAATTTTTCCTCCCTACCCCAACCATAATCGCTCAGGCACCCATAGCCCCAGAAAAAACAAACTTTTTCTTGGCAATGAGCGTACGTGAGAGAACATCTGGTGTGAGTGAGTGTGTGGTTCACATCCCGAAGAGAGCAGAGCAGCTGCTGTTCGTCTCATCTCTCTCGTCTGTGACTTTTTCGGCTCAGTTCATAGCGCAGATGTAAGCGATCCACTACCGCCATCGCCACCAGCACCTCCTTCTCTCTTCTGCTCACTCACAGTTAGCCCTCCTCCCTCGTTCAGTGTCCACTAGCTCTTTTACAATCGCTGCTGCTGCGGCTATGGCGCAGAGTGCAGCAAATGGATCAGTTCTACTTTGCACTTTTGTGCAAACTATCCGCTACTGGAACTAATCGCTGGTAGTGGCTATCTTTTACGGTAAAAAGTCGAATATGACGCTCCACCCCTAGATTTTGGCCGAAATATGGACCTCCACCTATTGTCTCCCAATCTTTTCTTACGTTTTCTGTAAAGAATTGTTGTTGGCGTTCCCATTACCATAATCCATGAAGGATACTTACTCTGCTTCAGTTACACCGTAATTTTTAACGACTGATTCCAAAACTGGTTGATAGGACTGTGTTACATGCTCAAAAGTTATTGAGACCTTAGTTGTGATTATGACATTCCACAGATAATTTTAAAAAACCCAATTCGTTGTGTGCACAATCTACACCATTGCTTGATTTTCAATATTTCATCCTCCACTTAGAATTTAAGAATCTCTGCCTCAGGAGATAACCCTTCTGAGCATTCATCTAGAATCAGCACATAGAACTAAATTTCTGCTCAAAGGCGTTATACTTAGTTCTCTGACGATTTTTGCCGAATAGAACTTTTGCGAATTTTGAATTGCATAGGTTATCTCATACAGTCAGAATCAAAGCACTTTCTCTCCATGTAAGCTGTCTTTAACGTCGACTAAAACGTGGTTTGATCTTCTAAGATTTCCGTTCACCCATCGTTCTCAAAAAGCAGTGGCAGTGGTATAAGAGAATGACAACTGTTTATAGGCACAAAAACTTACCAAGCCGATCGCTCCAAACGTACTATGTGAAACACGATATGCTCAAAGCGATGTAGTAATGGGGGTACAGTAGGCTCGTTGCACTGCACATTTAGTCAATCAGTAAATCAGCGCAGACATAACAAGATAGAATTCGCAAAAAAAAAACAAAGTACAGCTACAAAGTACAGCTTCATAGATGGGATACTTCCTTTTTGTGCGCGGATTATTCAAGACACACAAAAGCTAAGAATTTGCACATCTCTTTGTGATTCTGTCTTTTCCTCTTATAGAATTCCCCTTAAAAGCGTTCATCGTTCTCTCTTCGTTGGAGTTATTAGTACATATCATGAAAAATTGCTTTTGCTTCTCAATCGGACAGAGCTGATTCTCAGCAAGCTACCGTAATCTCAATACTTTGCCTAGGACATGTAATAGTTGATGCTACGTTTTGAAAGACCAAGTCGAGAAGCTTTTGTTTTTTTCAGCAAATAAATTGCAGAAGAGAAGTTTTGTGTATAATAGCAAACTCACTAAGATGTTAGTCGGCCTTCAACTTTTGAATTTTGGAAATTGCAAATTTCTCAAGACCATTACTTGCACGCTTAGCGCATAAGATCTTTTTCCCCAACTCTGTTGCGGATCAGCGTTTTTCCCTCCAATTTCACACCGAGCCCAATTATGAAATTTTCTGCGACTTGAATCTGAATCTAAGTGTTTCAGCAGTAGAAAGCCATGTTGCAACGGGTGCTGCTATTAGCAGCACTGGTTGCTACGGTGGCCCCACAAATGCTTCGGCCGAGTTTGTTGACAATCTCCCATCGAAAACCAATTCGTGCCAGTTCCACATGCGGTGAACATAATGGACAACCGATCAACGAAGTCTACTGCTCACTCACTGGTCAGCACCAAATCAATCCATAATCGATTGATAGGGAAAAAAACATTTCAGGTTCCACTCAATATTCACCGCTAAATGAATACTCTTACCAAGACGATACAGCTCATCCACTGGCATATAGTGAGATGCGACAGGAACGCGAAGCCTTCGTGCAGGTGAGAATAATATTGAGGTGTGGAGGCTAACAGCTGTTGTGATTGGTTGACGAATGGTGGTCAGCCCTGGGCGAATGGATAGTAAACTTGAATAGGAATGATATTCTATGAGAAGTGCTTTGGTTGACGGTTTCATAGAGATTCAGTGAGGAAGCTAATTTTAGTGAGTTTAATGTGACAGAATTGATAGAAAAGTGTTTGAAAACGAGAATAAAAGTGCAGAGAATATCAGATTCAGAGAGTGTAAGTGGTGAACATATTTCAAGTAAATTCATCTAAAGTTCGAGACAGCTGAACATGAAAAGTGCCATATATACCATAGCATTTATACCATAGCGATGCAACATCTCCGAAGTGCGCGGCTCATGGCGGCTTGTTTGAATCGACTCGCGACGCTCTTATTTTATTTTTGGCTAAATGAGGGCTTGTATGTAGTCTTTGATGAGTAACTAGATGTCATGAGCATTACTGTACTATTGTGCTGCGCAGGCGCTGAAAAAGTCGTTCGCTAGCTGCGCTATCTGGTCATAAATCTGAAAAAATATCAGAGTTCCGTGAGGTCACAATGCTTCACTACTTAACAATTTTCCGAAAGTTTACTGAGTTTTCCACTTCTAGGGCGGTCATGGTTGCGGACATTGTATGGCAGGTACGGTAAATGCTCATCCTGCCGAGAATATGGTAGATGGTAATACGAGCTGGTGGCAGTCCCCACCTCTATCCAGAGGAATGGAATATAACCAAGTCAACATTACCATCGATCTCGAACAGGTGCGGTCTACGGTCTAGAACTTGCCAGAAATTAATCACGAGACAAGGGGGAGCCACAACTTGAGAATAATTTCCTTTTTAGGAGTTTCATGTGGCTTACGTATGGATCCAAATGGCTAACAGTCCCAAGCCAGGAACATGGATCCTAGAACGATCAACTGACTATGGAAAGACGTTCCAGCCATGGTATTACTTCGCTGAGACTCCAGCCGAATGCATGAGGGTAAGAATGGTATAACAATCGATTATTGATTGATGTCATGCCATATCTTTTAGCAATTCGGTATGGAATCCCTGTCACCAATTTCCGAAGACGATCGAGTCATCTGTCGCTCGGACTTGGCTGGAATTCATCCACTGGAAAATGCTGAGATGGTCATCAAAATCCTGGAACACCGACCGAGTCGCTTCCAATTTTCCTCATCGGAAGCTTTGCAAAATTTCACGAGGGCTACAAATGTCAGGATTCGACTACTGGGTACAAGAACTCTGCAAGGACATCTAATGCATTTGCATGATAGAACGGATCCGACCGTGACGAGAAGGGTGAGCTGTACTCATAAGAATTTTTTTCTGAAAATTGAAGAGAAAAAACAGAGAAAGGGAGCGATGTAAGAGGTGTTTTCAGCTCTTTTAAGAAAGCTGAAATTCTGGAAGTGCGAAGTAAAGAACATCTATTGTTTTTTCTGCTTTTTTATAGTTAGATCAAGACCGGAGGCAGATTCTGCAATCAGCGGGCTTTGCATGACTTTAGCTGTCTGCGTCTCTTCGTAGCATATTATTCGTGACCCAAAGGGGTCAACGCGCCGCAGAGCTGTGCGAAGCGTATGTAATGTCTATCCAATTCAAAAATCGTCCGTATGCAGGTGATAAAAAGGTCTATCTTTGAGGATTGGGTCCCGAATAATTTTCAAAGCTATTTTTCTTTGAATCTTTTTATTATATTTTTTTCAGTATTTCTACTCCATCAAAGAAATCCTTATGGGTGGACGATGCGTTTGTAATGGACATGCTGGCACATGTGACATTTTGGATCCAAGAAGACCTAGAGCCCTGCTTTGCAGGTCCGCGCACGTCTTTTTTAGCCTATTTTTTCTTGCGACAAAAAAGAATTTGCAGATGTGAGCACAACACGTGCGGTGACATGTGCGAACGTTGCTGTCCAGGATTTGAGCAGAAAAAATGGCAAACGAGAACTGCCCATAATAATTTCACCTGTGAACGTGAGCCATTTGCAGAGCTTTGTGAAAATCAGGGTTTCGCGCCAGGACCGACAAGTACATTGTGTGCATTTAGCTTGCAATTGTTTTGGACGATCAGACGAGTGTGTCTACGATGAAGATGTGTTTGTGAACAGTCTTTCGCTGGATATTCACGGAAACTACGCCGGTGGTGGACGATGTCTGAACTGTCGAGATCATACTGAAGGGGTGAACTGTAACAAATGCGTGTTCGGATATTATCGCCCAGCCGGAGTGAGCTGGAACGACACAATGCCGTGCAAACGTAAGAACTTTTCATTCCTCCCAAAATTCAAAAAATGGATTTTGAAATTATCCAGCCTGTTCCTGCGATCCCTCCAAACACACCGCAGATTGCGAGGAAGAAACTGGAAAATGCTATTGCCAACCCAGATTCGAAGGAGAAAACTGTGACAGATGCGCCAAGGGCTACTACGATCCACCAGAATGCAAACAGTGCGAGTGTGCTGTTAATGGAACAGTTGGCGAGATGTGTCTGGTACGCGAACCGCCCACTCGGTAAAATAAATAATTTAAAGCGAATTTTTTTAGCCTGAAAATGGCCAATGCCCATGCAAACCCGGTTTTGGAGGAACTTTCTGTGAGACTTGTGAACCTGGATTTACTAATGTGACGGCTGGATGCAAGGGTAAAGATGAAGCTTTGGTGGCAGAGGCGGAGCTAGCGTTGCGTGTGGGCGTGGCCTTTGCCACACTAATGGCAGTTTTGCCGCTGATTGTTTAATTATATGATTTTGGCATTAACATACCATCTAACTCAACCCGGGTATCTACTGCTTTTTACTCACAAAAAAAATCTCGAAAATTCAGAAGATTTACCTAGATATTTCAAAAATGTACTTGTCCTTCCAGACATGCCCATACCATGAGCTCACGCGCACGCGGTTGCGTGGCGGGCACCATGCTTTATTACAGATTTTTGTCCCTCGTCCTTTTTTATTTTTTGTTTCTTCCTTCTTCAGTTTCTCGTGTTACATTATTTATTTTCACATAAAATAAATTTTAGAATGCGTTTGCGACGAGACTGGCTCCGCTCATTCGAATTGTTCTGCTACAACCGGCCAATGTGTATGCAAACCTTCCTTTACTGGACTGATGTGCGACCAATGCCAAGCTGGATTCTACGGTTTCCCGAACTGCACATGTACGAGAACTGGTCCCCAAAGTTGGTGCGCAAAAAGAGTCAACAATTGCTTTATAGTTTGCAATTGCGACCCCCTTGGGACTGAAGGTGGAATATGCGATCCACATTCGGGACAGTGCATGTGTAAAGATGGTTTCTATGGCGAAAAATGTGATCAGTGTGATATTGGCTATTATGGATATCCGAACTGCAAAGGTTACACAAATTCTTTGTAAAATTTTATCTTTTTCAATTTCTTCCCCTTTTTAGAATGTAACTGCCTGGGTGCTGGTGCAAAAGCATTGGAATGCGACGCGGCTACGGGACAATGCCCATGTTATGCAAATTTCACTGCTAGAACTTGTGACAAATGTGCTGTGGGATTCTACGATTACCCTAATTGTAAGGTGAGGGATTCCAGAGACCATATGTGTACTACGCGCGTGGTCGCGTGCTGTTGCGTCGCGTATGCGAAGCGGCAAAAGCATGCAAAATTACAAAAGCAACTTTTTAAATTATTTATTGGACATAAAAAATTTTGCTTACTAAATCGTGCTCAAATTCATAAATTTTGCTGGCTTGGTGCTAAGTTCATATCAGGAACTCGATAAGTTATCGTTGCTCAATATTGGGTATTTACAATGTTTTCGTATTTTTACAGGCATGCAGTTGTCTCATCGAAGGAGCAAAAGGTCAAGCATGTGATAATAAAGGAAATTGCTACTGTAAAGGCAACTTTGAAGTAAGTATCCCCCAAATATCTCCTGGACCATCCTAATTCCTACCCGTACAGGGAGAGCGTTGTGATCGTTGCAAGCCAAATTTCTACAACTTCCCTGCTTGCGAAGAATGCAACTGTCATCCGGCTGGTGTTACACTGGATTTCGCTGGATGTGACAAGGTACAGTAACTCTTCTGTGTACCATAGGACTTTGCTGAGATACTCTCCTTCAGGTCCAACCGGGAGAGTTGTGTTCGTGTCGAAAGAACGTCGATGGTAGGATCTGTGACCACTGCAAGCCAACGTTCTGGGATTTGCAATACCATAACCCCGATGGATGTATTGGTAAGTTTCGTTTTTAGAGGAAGTAGAGCAAATCTTTTCCAAAAGTTCTTAATTCTGACTGGGAGACTAAAAAAGGCACTGGGCAGCTTATAAGATTTATTGGCAGTGAAAAAATTTCGTAACCTCTGCCTCTCGCCCTGTACCGTATTATTTACGAGTAGATAGCATTTTTCAGTAAGGTACTGGGAGAGATCAGCAGGTCATAAAATGTTATTTCGGATAAAATTCAAAGAATTCGCGTTCCTTTGCATGAAATATTCATTGTACAGCTCGCAGACATATCGTAATTTTCGAAGTTTTGATCTAGTCTTGATTTCTTTCAATACAATTCAAAGCTAAGAAAACGTATGGAAGATTTTGTTGATCCCTCATTTGGCACTATCTACCCGAAACATTACTGAGGTTACTATGGCCGATTTTAGTGGAGAGTAGTAGCGCACTTCCATTTTCAGAATGTGGTTGCCATCTGAATGGAACGGTTTCTATGTTTGACACCTGCGATCAGAAGTGAGTCTCAACCCTTTTTTGGTTTTTTCGATCGTTTACACCGCAATTACGTACTGCAGCTGCAATGTGCACATTGTTTAGATCGGGACAATGTGTGTGTAAACGAAACGCAGGAGGACGTCAATGTGATAAATGTGCGGATGGTTTTTACAATTTGCAAGGCTACAATCAGCTTGGTTGTGAACGTGAGAGAACATTCATTTGAATTTTCGCTCTAGAGGGCAAGGCTAAATAAAAAATATTTAGCCTGCAAATGTGACATTGGCGGGGCACTTCGTGCTGACTGCGATGGAGAAACTGGACAATGTCGTTGCCGACCAAGAATTACTGGGTTGCAATGTGACAAACCTATAGAAAACCATTACTTTCCTACCCTCTGGCATAATCAGGTGAGAAAAAACTCCATTTGCCCTGTTTCTGAAAAAAAAAGAGATTTCCAGTACGAAGCTGAAGATGGCCATACCGAAGACAATAGACCTGTGCGCTTTGCTGTCGATGAGGATCATTTCAAGAATTATAGCTGGCGTGGTTATGCTGTGTTCTCACCAATTCAAGAAAAAGTCATTCTAGACATTGATGTAGCGAAGGTTAGCGTCATAGAGTGATTCTTGGCTGGTTGCCAAAGTTACCGTACTCTTCGTCTTTGCAGGCTTCGGTCTACAGGCTTCTCTTCAAGTACCATAATCCAACTTCTGTACCTGTCACGGCAACAGTAGCCGTGGCACCAAGAATGACCCATACCCAAGGTAAAAATACCCTTAACCTGCCACAGGTCCTTCCACCTCCCTGCTAATTTGAATGATCCAAACTTTAGATATCGAGCAGTCCGAAAAGGTTACTTTCGCTCCTACCGAGGAACCAGCCATCAAGGAAGTTACCGTAGCCGGCAAACCTTTTGTTCTAAACCCCGGTAAATGGTCGATCAGTATAGGAACAAAACAACGGTTGCTCTTGGTAAGTTGAAAACTTAAATTGAATTTCTTCAAAGCAGTAATCTTGTAGGATTTCATCGTGGTCCTGCCAGCCGAGTACTATCAAGGTACGGTATTGAGAGAACGAGCTGCCCTACCATGTGAAGCACATACTGCCCATAATTCGACCTGTGTGGATTTATTGTACCCACCAATGGATGTTTCTGCTCGAGCTGATGTCAACGAAAAGAAGGACACATTCAAAGAAGTGAACATGGATGGAACAACTTCTGATCTGAAAATGGTGGGTAATTTTTTCCAAAAAAGAGCGCGGGGGGATGATTTACCGCAAGGAAGAAAGCTTGCTAAGTGGAGACGGCAGGAGCAATGCCAAAACAAAAATAATTTTTCTAATTAAAAGTCTATGGAACCAAGAGAAATCCGAAAAAATGTACGAAAGGGATAATAACATTTGAATTGTTTTTTCGTACATAAATGAGGTAAAAAATTCATGCATAAAAATAGACAAGTGCTGTGCTTTTTGAAGTGCCGAATTGCGTATAATCTCTACTGTTCTTCTCTAAGGAGTAGATTTTGCTTTGTTTAGGTACCCGTAGAGATCTTACCCGAAATTATCGGACCTGCAGCGTACGTCCAAGCTGGAGAAGATAAGAAAGTGATTGAGGTGAGTGAAATTTCACTACCGTACACATGATTTTCTACCGCATACTTTTCCAGGCAAATATCGATGTCCCGGAAGATTACGACTACACCGTTGTTGTCGAATACCATAACTCAGACAAATTCCAAGCTCCAATCATGGTCGAAATTACCCAGCAAGGAAACGACTCCGATACAGATTTTAATGGAACCATTACCGTACACCATTGCCCATTCGCGTATGTTGAACCTACCAAGCTGCAGTTTGCCTACGTTTTGATTACTCAAATTCCAGAACATTCTGCCGTGAAGCGGTCACTGAAGGAGGTGAGGTGGCTACCGTACCCTTGAAGAAAGGTTCAGCTACCGTACAGCTGCATATTCCGAAAATGACACAATTTGGACTAGCCGCGGTAAATTTGGTGGCGAAAAACAGATGGAACAACGAATATTTGCAACAAGTAAGTCTATTTTTGAAATTTTTCGGCCGAGAACTTTCGGAAAAGAAATGACTGATAACTGCTAAGTCCTCCTCAGGGGTAGGGGAACGAAAGCCGCCAGTTTGGGGCCGTCTTCGCGGACTGCTGGTCCTGGGACGACATGCAACAACACTGCGACAGGACCAGTTGGCCGCGAAAGGCGGCTCAAACTGGCAGCTTTCGTTTCCCTACCCCCTCCTCAGTAATGACCATTCCGAGAACAGAAGCGCACAATTTCTTGCAAATCGCTCCGTAAACCAAGTACCAACCAATAGCAAAGCAGTGCTTTCAATGTTACTGGTTGTAAGTTGGGTCTCGTCGCGAACCAATGCTAGAAAATTCGCTTTCCAAGCGACAGCTTTGGAAAGTTTGAAGACACAAAATCTTGTTCGGAAAATTCAAAAGAATGATATTCAGGTGCCAGTTTGTGTCCGAAAAGACGGTAAATGCGTTCCACAGCAACATCCACCAGCTGGTAATTCCATCGCCACCGAAGCAGAAGCTGGCGCCAATAAGGTAACATCTATTCCATTTTCAACAAAAAATATCCTAACTCATTTCCAGGAAAATGCCATCACCGGCGACAAGCTACCGTTTCCTATTGCGCATCCAAAAGAAGTTACCGTAGTTCCACTGGATGAGAGTCAAGTAAGTATGCCTGGTAGCGTTAGCTAGAGACCCAAAAATTTTTTTAGGGTACCCTGGAGATGAACGGAGTAGTTGCTGGACGTGGACACTACATGTTTCTAGTGCAGTACTTCAATCCTGACAATACTCCAGTGGATATAGGAGTACTTCTACAAAACGATCACTTCTATGAAGGTGGGTTTATTTCATTGTGTCCCATTCTTTGGAAGTTCATAATTGAAAGCACTGAATCTCGCGCTTGACACCGACGCGCACCTGTGAGACAAAATGAGTGTGGTTTCCCAAATTTTTTGAAGGTTCATTAAATTGAAAAACTCGAATCGCAATCGCGTTTTGCACCCGATGCGCTCCCGTGAGACAAGATCGATACCGCGAACATCGCGAAGGTTCCCTTTTGTTGAGACTCATAGGCATCGACAGCGGCATAGGAAAAAAGCTACCGTAATAATGTTTGATATTGGGATTCTACTCTCGACTCATAGAGATGACAGCAAGAGCAAAACTTTTACTAGCAACTAATTTTCAGGAAATGAGGTGTTCCTTGTTGACTACCATGGTTTGTCCTAAGCTACCTTTTGTTATGCCTTTCTCTACAGCTATCTTGTAGCGTAGCACATATATGTATTTGTAGTTGGCTTTGAAACGGCGGCTTCAAAATTCCCCTATCGCAACTTTTTCACTTTCTTTTTAGCTCTAAAGACTCATTTGATCTGTGTATTTTCAGCCGTTCTACCTTTGGCCTATTGTCCTTCTGTTAGCGGTTGCCGAGCATTGATTAGAGAGAAGGAAAGACCTGAGGTAGGCATATACTTACGCTAAGGAGAAAAACCTAAGTATACAAATGTGCAAAATCGAGACGCTCTAATGAGATCATTGTCCGCGCAAAAGCTCTAATCCATTTATGGCTACAATGCAATCAGATTTCGTCCAGACCGTATTCTCTCAAGCGAACCAACCAGCGTGTCTTGAGTTACGGCATTGGGCGAAAATTTAAGTTGAATTTTTGGCTCTGAATTTTTTGAGCTGATGCTTGGACGTTGGGCTAGTTAAAGCCTTGCAAGCAACTTCCTTGTAAGAGACCCACGTATCCAAATTTGCCTGGACACTACTTTAAGTATTTTGGCAGGTTCTGCAAAAAAAAACGACGATTTCAGGTGATCCAGTTCTGGATGGAGGACAAGTATACCGCTACCCTGTATCACAACAATACGCAAAAGGGACCAGTCTTCATTGTGAGTGCGAAAAAATCTAACCTTTACAACATTTACATCTTTTACTATCCATATCAAAATTCTTTATTATAGGACTCGATCATTGCCGTTCCGTACCATTCATTCAATGAGAATCTTATGACTCCTCTGCCAATCGATGTCTCGAACGAATTTGTTCAAGAATGCAGCGCTGATTTCTACCAAAATGAGTGCGTCTCTTAAATTTGCTCTGGGTCTACTTTTATAGTTATATATGAAATTTCAGTCCCGAGAATGTTTCCGATTTTTGTCGCGACAAGATCTTTTCACTTACAACGGACTTTAATCAAGCGGCATTCTCTTGCGATTGCATTGCCAGGGTGATTATACTTTATTTTTCCAATCCCTTAACGAAAGCACAAAAAATTATGATTAAAGGGTTCCGAATCCTTCTGCTGTGACGAATATGGTGGACAATGCAAATGCAAGCCGAACATCATTGGAAGGCGATGCGAACGATGTGCTCCCGGATATTACAATTACCCCGAGTGCATAAGTAAGTCTACTTATATAAAACATGATAAAGGAAAGACAACGCAACATTCCCCTTATGTATTCTGGCAAAAGCATAGAATGAACATAGCAGCGTTTCTATTTTATTAGAAGGCTTCGTCGCGAGTTTTATGACCTGAGAAGTGATGACGAAAAGTGGTCCCCAAGCTAGATACATGACTATATTGGAGCTGAGAACTATAATTTGGGTAGTCCGCGAGTTCTTTAAATTTTATTTTATTATTTTTTATTTATTTTTAATCGAAAGTAGGCGAAAATCGGTCCCCATCTGGTGGTGATCAAATCTTATGCCCTTTTGATTGGAAATCTGGAAGTCGTTGTTTGTCAGATTAGACTGACTGCACTGATGCCGTGTCATCACTCTACCCTCCCCAAAATAAGCCACATAATTTTTCAGAGTGGTTTACTTGAGTCATGATATTGCAGTAAAATGTATTCACTTGTAATCTGAAACAAACTACGTTTTTGAGCCTCTCTTTTGGAAATTTCGGGAAAGATTTCTATAACCACCACTGATTGGTGTGAAACAATTCTGCAGATTTATATATTTTCCTTCTTCTGAGTAAATCATTTGATCATTCATGATTTCAGAGTGTAAATGCAGTATCGGTCAACAATGCGATGAACATACTGGTCAATGCTTCTGCCCACCTCATGTAGAGGGAACTTCTTGTGACAGATGCGTAAACTATGCTTTTGGATATGATCCGCTTATTGGATGTCAAAAGGTTAGCAATTCTTTAGATAAAATCTTGACTTGGAAAAGAGATCTCTATTTCAGTGCGGCTGTCACCCACAAGGTTCGGAAGGCGCTTCACTTCAGTGCGATCCCAACAGTGGTCAATGCTTGTGAGTTACAATGATCAAGCATTTGTACGGTCTTAACAATACAATAATTTTGTCCAGATGCCGTGAATCCGTTGGTGGACGCCAATGTGACCGTTGTCTTCCCGGATATTATGGATTCCCACACTGTTACGCTTGCCGCTGTAACGTCGCCGGCACAACTGAAGAGATTTGTGATTCAACAAATGCGCAATGCACATGCAAGGTAAGCCACTGAGAGAAGAAGTTTTGCGCCGTTACAGTATACAAATACCTTTACAAAGGTCAAGGTGTAGCACGTTAGAAATAACGAAAATATCAGTTTTTATTTCTCAAAACTGGTATAAATACGGTAATATACAGTATAACAGAGCGGCAGAAAAGTTGGAAGACTTCATATGTAGTCGCACGCCTAGGGATGCGCCCAGAGCTGGTGTACCAGCTCGTGCTAGCGCCGTGCCAGTTCTCGTATGGAGGTAGCGACAGGCGCTAGTACAGCGCTGGCACGGAAAACACGGGGCGCAGCATTAGCAGTATCTGAATTAGTACATACTATTTTTGAATGATGGCTGTTTCTGATGATGTATGGTGTAAATCTGGACCATTTACCAAAAAGAAGTCCATTATTCAGCTTGAAGCGTTAGTTTATTGCAGGAAAATGTGTACGGACAAGAATGCGATACGTGCAAACCCGGCACATTCCATCTGTCTGCCGCGAATCCCAAGGGTTGCGTGAACTGCTTCTGCTTTGGTACGACGGATCAGTGCAGATCAAGCATGTACCCAGTGTCGATTGTGAGTATTTACCAATAATTAGTGTTCCCGAACGTACAAGATTGTTTACAGACTGCATTTGATATGTCTGGATTCACGGTCAACGACCCATCTGGTAATGTCACAGTCGACGATCACATCGTGACTTACACAGCTGGTGATGAAGTTCCGTCTAGCGTATACTTCAACGCTCCAATCACTTCGGGATCGGATTACACGAGCAGCTACGGACTAACGGTAAGCAGTACCGAATGCAGGAGTTGAAAAATTCGAAATGAATTTTTCCAGCTATACTTCCAAATGTCGTCACATCCACAAGAAGGTCCACATGCTATGAGTTCGGATGCAGATGTACGACTATATGGGAACAACATGACTGCCGAATTTTGGGCTCCAGAACAGCCAGCTAACCCTCAGGAAGCGTTCACTGTGCGCGTAAAGCTGTTACCGGTAAGGACCATTATAATTTTCCTTTTCTTTTGACTATACACTGGAGCTTTGAGTAGCAAGTGGAAGAAATGGTGGATGGTCAAATCGCCTCACAAGCCCTCAGTTTGCCAATCGATCCCGAAAAATGATTGGGGATCGTTATAATTTGCATCTTCGGGTGACAATTCGCTTCCACCCCCAACGGCGGCTCCGTCCTCCGCCACGCCCCTTTTTTTGGTCTTTAACGCAAAGAATTCTGGAAGACATCCTCCTACTCTTGTAGCTCCACCCCTTGCCACGCCCCTTTTTTAGTCCTACCTTGGCACTCACTTCTTGCCACCCTCTTCTTGGTCTTTTGCGCGGAAATTCTGTGCAGGGCCCACCTCGCCTGGTAACTCTGCCCCTTGCCACGCCCCTTTATGGTTTCTTGCGAAAAAGAGCTGAATATGGGTAACTGCTGGTGAAAAGTATTATATTAGCCTCATCTGAACGAGAAAATCGAAATTTTTTAGGAGAACTTCTTGTCATCCACTGGACAACCAATCACCCGAGCAGATCTGATGATGATCCTACATTCTTTGCAAAATATCACCATCAAGGCATCCTACTATAACAATCCAAAATCGGCTCAGCTTATCGATTTTGGCTTGGAAGTCGCTGGAGAGGTAATTTTGGATAATTTTGCAGATCTGAAAAATCCAGTCTCTTTCCAGAACCTTCCACCATCAGCCATGCAAGCTTCGTCAGTGGAGCAGTGCGCTTGTCCGGCTCCTTACAGTGGACCAAGTTGTCAGCATTGTGCTCCTGGATACTATCGAGTCCAGTCTGGCTCCTACCTTGGTGCTTGCGTACCTTGTGATTGCAATGGACATTCAGGCTCCTGCGACGCGGATACCGGTAAGTAAAAAATGGGTAACTGAACATGATCCAGTATTTAACCCCTTTTCGCTCTCCAGGAATCTGCTTTGACTGTCAGCACAACACTCATGGAGATCATTGCGAATTCTGTGAGGAAGGACATTATGGAGATGCTACGGATGGTAGTCCATACTCATGTATGCCTTGCCAATGTCCATTCTCACCGACAAACAATTTTGCCACTGGCTGTCAGGTGGATAAGTTTTGAAAAGTGTACGGTAGAGGTACTGTAAAAGCTCCTTTTAGGTCTCCGAATTTGGGCAACTGCTATCGTGTAACTGTAAACCAGGCTATACTGGTGACCGATGTGACAGGTAAATTATATGGATGGTTATGGGCTTCTGTCAAGTTGTATAGGCGTAGGCGTGCGCATACCGTATGCCACGCGACGCTTACGTGAAGCGTGTTACTGCCTCGTTAGACATACTGTAGGTCCAAAAGGGCATACTGGCTTCATACTGTAGGGCCTAACTCGTCTCTAGTAATAATTTCAAAAAATACATCCCAAAGGGGGATTATATATGTTTTGATTTTCATCCAATAATTTATTTCTCAATAAGAAATACTTGTTCAACGAACCAAATTTTTCAATTTTCCAGATGTGACGCAGGCTATTACGGCGAACCCCAACGTCCCGGTGGCTCATGTCAACCATGCGATTGTAACAATAACAATAATTTGACGGATTCACGAGCCTGTCATCCAGTCACTGGTGATTGCTATATGTGTGAAAATAACACCGATGGCCGCAGATGCGAGTGGTGCGCCACATGGTAAGGTTGAAGAGAGTGGTGCCCTACCTTGGGTAACTCAACCACTTACGTTGTTCCAGGTATCACGGCGATGCAATTCATGCAAAGAACTGTACTGAATGTACATGTGACAAATGCGGTTCAATCAGCTGCGATAATAAGGCTGGAGTATGCGAGTGTAAACCAAACATAGAAGGGCAGAATTGTGACAGATGCCTGGTTAGTTCAACTGGTGGGCGTGGTCTCTCGAACTTAACCAAAAATCATTTTAGCCGGATCACTGGGGTTTCTCTCGTTGTTCTGGATGTCACCCATGTCACTGCGGGATGGCAGCGTCTTCTACCCAATGTGATGGTGAAACTGGTCAATGCTCCTGCCGACCCGGAGCAGCTGGTATGCGTTGTGAACACTGTGAACATGGCTTCTGGAACTATGGAGAGTATGGATGTCAAAGTGAGTTACAGCAACCCTTGGGGAAACCCAGATTGAGGATAAGATCTTGCGGGACGATAGCAGGGCTCCCGACTAATACATTGCCCAAATCCCGCTGCAAAACGTAAAGATAGACGCGGGAAAATCCCAGCACAAGATAGAAGCGGCGGTGGTCGCCCCGCCCACTAGCGTGAGTGGTCTAAAAATACAAGTCCAAGATTCGCTTTGATGTGTCTGGACTCGTCGAAAATCCGCTCTTCATTGTGAATACCAGACATTTGACAATATAAAACACATTTGAGCATTTTTGGACTTGTATCTCCAGGTCACCCACGTTAATGAGCGGAGCGACCACCCTAGCTTTCACCTTCTGGAGCGAAATTCTCGCTTCACCTTCTGCAGCGGGACTTGGGCGAGTAATTAGTTAGGGGCTATTGTATCGTATCATGTCACCGCTCTCGATTTGGGTGACGATGCCTTCAACTTGTGCACTCAAACCTCTCAAATCGTTCCTCTAGAGTGCGACTGTGAGGCAGACCTTTCCATGGGTACGGTATGCGATGTCCGTACTGGACAGTGTCATTGTCAAGAAGGAGCCACTGGAGCCAGATGTGATCAATGTATCCAGTCTTACTTGAGGATTCCCACATATGGATGTCGACGTAAGCTCTTCCGCCCTTACCTTCAGCCCCCACTCGGGAACATCTCCAAAAATTTTCAGGATGCGACGAATGCGTTCATCATTTGGTTGCTGACGTTGACCGCTTTGGTTACGATGTTGAGCATTTGAATCAGTCTATTTCTAACATCTCTTCGGCTACTGTAGTTGGTGCCCGACTCAGCCGTAACTCAAAGAATGTCGCGAAATTTGCGGTAAACTGGATCTCATTTTTACTTAATATTTTTAACAAATCAAAGCCTTACAGGAGATGGCCGAATTACTTTCTGGCAGTGAATACAACAACTTCGTCGGTGATGCTAGAGGAACGTTAAGCAATATGTCGCTCTTGTTCAACTCTGCCGAACGGTGAGCCGAAAGGGGGTGCAAAATTGTGAAAAAAAACCTCAACATCTAGATCAGTCATGGCCAGAAGTATACTCTAGTTTGTTTCAATAAGCATCAACAATTTTTATGATAGAAGAATACATAGATTTGCAGGATACAAGGGCAGTTAACACTGCTCTGCACCGTGCGCATTTTACGTCTTTTTTATTCGCACGAAATTTCAAAAAGTGGTTACTTTGGTTTTATTTTTGGCAAATTCGCGCGCAGGTCGCGACACCCCTTTAGTTCGCTATATTTAATTTTGTTTTGAATAGAAAGTGCTTGAAATCACATTTGCCATTGTTGAAACGAAGTCAGTGAGATGTAAAGAGAGTGACTGTGCCAAGAGAAAATATTTCAAACAATATAAAGATAGAATCGTAACTTTTGCACGATGGTTTGCGTTGATTTTCCCATAAATGGTGATGATGAAAATTGTCACAAGGCTAGAAAAAGCGAACCCACTCCTGATTTTATTTGTCTAATTTCCTTCGCCATTCAGAACTTTTGGAGTCACTGGAGATGACGTGGAACGTACAATGAACCTGACCGAGGACGCTGCTTTGGTTTTGGAAGACATACGTCGTAGAGCTGCTGTAAGTTCTGCATTCTTTTATGATTCCCACAAAACAGTTTTTTTTCATAAACCATGTTTTTAGGACGCATCCGATGCAGTAGATATGGCAAAAAATCTCGTCACATCGCTAGGAAGTCACTCGTCTGCTTTGGTGATTGATCCTACATGGATGAAGAATGCTCAGGAAACTCTGAGTAATTTGGAAGTGGTGACAGCGTTAGTAAAGCAAGTTTTTCACCTGTAGGAATTAAGGACAATTTTTTAGCGATGGAGCTCCCAAACAAGCCACTGATGTCCCTGCAGCAGTCCAAGCTTTACAGGCAAAACTTCAAGAACGTCACAATAAGACTGAGGAGCTCAAAGATAGGATGGAGGAAACGAAAAAGAGGGTAAATTTTTCTAAAACATACACCGCAGGTAACGTCAAAATTTTGTGGCACAATGCCTTTGAGTCACGATGCACGAGCACATTCGCTACAGTATGATTATCGATTTTGTCTCGCATGCTCACGCGCACGTACGCCTTACGCGTTAGTAATATTAGGCCATAAAAATCTAGTTTGTTTTGCATAGTTCATTTGGAAACAAGAAATTGAGGCTATGTTTACTCAAAATAATTTCAATTATTTTTTTTTCATTCAGAACGACAAAGTGGCCGATTACCTTACGGATACTCAACAGCTTCTGAAAGAATCCCGCAAGAAAACAGAAGAATCGCGCAAGGTAGGGTGTTCTTTTAATTGCTGGAATTTTAAAAATAAAGAAAATGGAATTTAGGCTGCCACCGGACTATCCACTTTGAGGCTTGAGGGTCTCATCAAAGCACTGTCGGACGGACGTGATAAGGCTATAGATGAACACAGAAATGTCAGCGAAACGCTATTGGAGGTGAGCTCATCTTGAAGAAGTATACCATAATTTTAGATGCTCTATTTCTGATTATTTTAGGTGAAAAATCTCACAGAACAAGCGAAAGACTTACGTGAGGCTATAGGCAATTCAGTGGCTAACCTTGCTGAGATCAGAGCCGAACTTGCCGAAGCAAGTGAACCGAAGCGAGAGAAGCGAGCGATATCGTTTGATAAGGTGCAGCTTTTATCGCACTAAATCAGTTTCGGATAGGTAAAAAATAGAAAATCTCAATTTTATGAGTTTAGGGTCCCGTCAACATAAGAGTGAGCGAGTTGGAATCAGAAGCAAATAGGCTCAATGATACATTTGGCGACACTCGTCTGGAGTCGCAGGTCTGCTTTTCTCTAACCGGTTTTTGCAAAATTGGCCATTTCCCAAAATTTTCCTACCGTTTCTTTTCTATCACAAAATTCTAGGTCGACTGATCAACAAAAATTCCAAAAACTTGGATGAATTTCTTTCCAGAACGCTGTAGAAGCCGCTTCTGCTTACGCCAATATTACGGAATCCCTTAAGACTGCGCAAGAGAAAGCTCAATGGACCGTAGACGAGTTAACCAAACTTAAAGACAGCCTTGATGAGAATGTAAGCTACAGCAGAGCTACAGCAATCCATAAAATCTATGTAAATTTTTCAGAACGAAGACGTGAAAAATGCCCTGAATCAGTCATCTGTACTGATGCGACAAATCTCCGATCTGCAACAAAGCACCCTAAATGGCCTAAGGAAGGAAGCTGAAGATACGGACAAGAGAATCGAGAGGGTGAGGGAGAGAAATCATTAAATTATGGGAGTTTTGTTTTCGCAAAGGAAATGTTTAGGCTTCCACGGCTGTGGAGGGAATGCGTCGGACCCTGGAAGGAATGCGAACTTCTCTAAAATCGCCCTTGAACGAATCCGCATTTGACGATGTGGAGAAATCAGCTGATCATGTAAACAGTCTACTCGTGGATTCAGCTAAGGTAAGTATGGTCACAATTAAATGGAGACACAGGAGGGGAGGGGGGGGGAGAGGATGGGTAGCAATTTGAAGGGTCAAAGCAGTGTCCTTGTATTTGCTGCACTTAATTTTTGCTTGCTGATTTTTAAAAGACTTATAAAACATGGTTTCGTCAATGGAGCATCAACTGTGACACAACTGATAGATTGCAGACATGACTGGATCAAAGCTTCAATTGATAAAAAAGAAGTGGATGTAATCTATTTCGATTTGTCCAAAGCTTTCGACCGTATAAGTCATGATAAATTGTTATATAAGCTGGAGCATTATGGCATCAGAGGAGTTCTACTGGAATTGATCAAATCCTATCTTCACTCTAGATTTATGACTGTCCGTGTTGGTAGAGATCACTCTGAGCATTTCCCATGTACAAGTGGGCTTCCGCAGGGAGGTGCTCTTTCACCTCTTTTCTTCATTATCTATACCGCCGACTTGCCCAGAATTTTGAAAACTCATCCTGATATTCACGTACTAATGTACGCCGATGACATAAAAATATACGGGATTTATGATGACAGCAATCGCGCAGTTATCAAAGATGCTTTACAACGCGCCATCGACCGTATGATTGAATGGTGCGCAATTTGGGATATCTCGATAAACGTCAAAAAAAGTGTCGTATTTCATATTGGTGCGATAAATGATGCCAATTATGAACACGCTGGAGTCATGCTATCCAACGAAACATCAGTTAAGGATTTGGGAGTCGTATTCGACGACACCTTAAAACCTGATCTGCAAGTTTCAACTGTTACCTCACGAGCTTTGTCAACTTTATACACCATTTTTCGCAATATTAAAGTCAATGACGTCAAAATACTGGTCAAATTGTACAAAGCATATGTAATCCCCTTATTAGAATATGCAAGTCCTGTTTGGAGCCCCTCTCTTAGGAAGCACACAGAGACCCTGGAGAGCGTTCAGAGAGTCTTTACCAAACTTCTCTTTTATCGCTGTTTTCCGAATTCATCATATCCACATTTGCTTCCGCATTATGATGAACGCTTGAAAACACTTGGTCTTGAATACCTCTCATATCGTAGAGTTATTCACGATCTTGTTCTTGCATTTAGGATTTACAGGGGAGAAACCAAACTGAGTCCTTCCAAGTATTGGGTATTCAAGCCTAGTCATGGAAGGACCAGCGGATTTTCTATTTATCTACCAACAAGCGGTGGGCGAAATCAGTTTTGCACCTTATTAGAAAGTGATTTCTTTGTTCGTGCATCGAGAATGCTGGTAAAAATACCAAAAGAACTTTTTGCCTGCAAAAATAGTATATCATTCAAACGTGAAATCAAAAAGCTGAACTTGAATGATTTCTTTCCTTGCAGGTAGAGCTTCTCTTCATTGTTTTATGCTCACTTTGCCAGCCACACGTGCTTTCCTGACTTCCCATCAGCACATGCGTCCGACAATCTCAGTTTATATCTACTTTGCTAGATTTGTTCTCCTACTAACCCAGATTTTTACCACATAGTTTCGAGCCCAGCCTACCTACTACCACGCACTAGTTTGGTACAGCTTACCAACATAGACCGATGCTTGTCCGATTTACAATATATTTCAAATTTCCTTGGAGCTTTGTACCCTCCCCGGCAAACTGTGTTGGGCGGGGCTGCCAGTATACCCGCCAGCCGAACTTCCGGTTTGCTATTATGAAATCAAAATAAGATCGTTCCTTGCTGGCAAACGAGGGGGCATGGGTACTTCTCCAGAGTGTTTCCCCATAGAGTTCACGCAAGTGCAAGCATTGTTATCTATACGCGTTTATGCAAGCTGCTTCTACACAATCTTTTCTCTCATAAGCTTAGTCTGGGCTTGAAAGATGTGGTGAAATGTTCATTATTGTTGTGTTTCATGTATTATTAACACATTTTTGTCAATGTTTTGGAACGCCTAGAGCGTATCTAATGAAATGAAATGAAAAACATGACCCAAATATAATACTAAGTCATATAATTCATTCGCAGCCAAAAACTCAGCGCTAAATTGTCCGCTACCGTATACCAGGGCCCTGATTGGTCTGCTCTAAAAGTACGATGTGGCCGGAATTCTCGGCCATAAATGAAAGCTCGTAATTATCATCTTCATGGAAAGGTCTAGAATCCAGAGTTACGTGGACATCGCTTTTTATGCAAGTACTAAAGCGTAAATAGATTGTTTTGCTTTTAGAAGAAGTATTATTAGAAAAAAAATAGTTCAAAAAACTGCAATAGAATCCATATCAAAAGTATTTAACTAGTATCACAAATATTTTTCGGAAAATTTACGTTTTCTAAGCTTATATCTCACCTTTTTAGATGCTAAACAATTCCCGAGATCAAATCGCAGAACTAAAAGCAGCCACCGATGCTGCAGTATCCGAAGCAACCGAAGCCCTACAAGGCATCAAAACGACTCGAAGCAATGTCAAAGAGGTTTATTCACAACAAGTGGGATCTGGTAGGATCCCATGCCCCAACCTAGTTACAAAAACCACATTTTCAGCTCACTAATCTGGTCCCAAGTCTTGTGAACCAATACGATCAAATGCGTTATGCGGCTGGAAATCGTTCTGCAAAAGTTGAAGCTTGCAATGAAAAATTGTCATCCATCAAGGAAATGATCGCTGTGGCAAGAGATGCAGCTAATAGGGTTTGTTAGTTTTTCTCATTCAAAAATTTGAAACCAATTTCATCATTTTGCAGATCAAACTCGGAGCACACTTTGAGAAAGGAAGCTCTTTGGATGTACCTATGCCACAAAAAGTAGCTAAATCTGCGGCACACACTGATGTCTCATTCCATTTCCGCACGGACAAAGAACATGGTTAGTCACATTCTTTCATTCTTTCATTCATTCTAAGGAATCGAAAGAACCGTAGAAATTCGCGACTGGGTTGCGGCAAGTATACATGTCATCTAAGCGACTATTGGTCGCAACGCAACCGCACGCACTGACATATAAAAAATAGGAGAATATTTTGTATTTTGAGGAATCCCACTCTTCTTTGGTAACGAAGAAGGATCGGCTGGCACTCGCGCTGTACCTACTGACGACTATATCGCTGTAGAAATTGAACATGGCAGACCAAAAGTCACCATCAATTTGGGCGAGAAACCCATTGTTATTCCACTGAACACGTGCGTTTCGAATTTCCAAATCTCTTACTTTTCTAAGATTTTGAAAATAATCTTTTCAGGCCGGTTTCTGACAATCAATGGCGTCAATTGAGTATCGAACGCATAGGAAAAGTGGCAACAGTGAAACTGTATGCACCGAATAGCGATCAGGTAAGTTGATATTCACCCTTGGGTAACCGAGCTAATCATAAGTACCGCTTTTAGGTGGAGGAAGAGAAACGGGCTTCATCGGAGGGTAACAAGAGCATCCTGAACCTACATCAGACCATGAGTCGTCTGTTCGTTGGAGGAGTTCCACCGGGAAGCAAGGTATGGGTAGCTTTGGTGCGCTGTTTAACAAACATGCTACTTATCACTTATTTCTGTGTTACAGATTGCGAATGAAATCCGCAATCGCGACTTTGAAGGAGACATAGAAGATTTGACATTGCATGGCGAACCCGTGGGTTTGTGGAATGCGAAATCTGGTGGTACGGTAGCGGTAAAAGGAGCCCCGCCTAGACCACGCACCAAAGAGTTGATGGCTCAGCCTGGTAAGAGTGACCTTTGTCTTTCTCTGATGTGAGAGATATGATGAGAGAAAATGGGCAAGAATAGGTATACTGTAATCCTTCCAAGACCACGCTCTACTTCGTCCACTTTATCTATGTTTTGCTACAGGCCAATTCACCGATCTGGCCAATAATGAAGTGGATGAGTAGATCTATTAGTGTGCCAACGTGCATGCTGGGGGAGGGATGGGAGCTGTAGTACGCCACCATGCTGCGTGGCGGTATACTGTAAGCCCCAAAGAGCGTGTATGCTGCAAAGTTGGCAAGAATCCAGTTCGGTAGGAAGAAATGAGATAAGGATGCAGATAGAGAATTAAGGCATATCTGAAGCTTCCACAAATAGTAATGCTTTTATATCATGTGATGCGCCGAAATTTCTTGCAGGAGTTTCTTTGGATGGTGAAGGATACCTTGTCTATAAAATGGGCTACTGGAATCCAAGAACACGTGCCGTGATTACCTTGCAATTCCTAACATTCTCACCCGATGGACTCTTGTTCTTCATTGGCAAAGATGTAAGCTTTTGTACTTTTACCCCATCCGGTACCTCTACCGTAAGCAAAAACACATTTTAGCGCGAGTTCTTCGCCATAGAGCTGTCGGCTGGAGCTGTGAAACTTTCCCTGGACTTCGGTTCTGGTGCAGCGCAGTGGTTGGCTGATACGGTAGCGTACAACGATGGCAAATGGCATACGGTATCAGTCATGCGCGATGAACGTCATGTGAAGATGGATGTCGATGGAGAAACGGTAATTAAAAACTGCATCTATCCTTTATGAGCGAAGGTTCTTTCCCTTTTGGACCAACTGAAAAAATCTAGAAGCTATGAAATTTAGGTTGCTGAGGGTGATGCACCAGCGGACAGCGCTTCCCTAAGTGTCACCGATTACTTCTACATTGGAGGAACACCTGCTGGAGTCAACACGTAAGCGCGATTTTCATCAAGTTTCCCGATCGATAAAATCGATATATCGATTCAGGCGCTCTCCCATCGAGCCGTTCCGCGGCTGCATCAAAGCTGTCCGTCTTGGTGGCGACGAGATCAACCTCTACGCCAGTCATGCCAGCAAAGGTGTTCGCAATGCTTGCGCGCTTGGCACAGTGCGTACGGTAGGTTTAACTTTGTTCCACAGAAAAATTTTAATTTTTATGAATATATTTTTTAGGTTTCTATCCTCTCGGACAGATCCTCAGCCGTGTTCGAAAATATCACAGCTGCTGATGAAATGGATGTGTCGCTGAGATTCAAGACCCGTAGGCCTACTGGAACGCTAATGACCATTCAGTCAGAAGAAGATGATTTGCTAGCGCTGAAGATCGAAAATGGAGTTCTGGTTGCGTTTGCTGGAGATGATCGGGTAAGTATTAAACTTGATCAGCGACATACCGTATGCTACCGTAACTCTGAACGTTACTGACGAACACAATGCTTACACAGGAGCACTTGTGAATGAAACCGCTGCAAATTTCTCAAACTTTGCTTGTTTTTGGGTTTACGGTAGCATACTGTAGCGGTGGAACAAAGCAGCACTGACTGTGTAACAAGAAAAAAATTTCATCACATTTCTCAAATCATAGGCTTCCCTCGAACTCGCATCAGCTGCCGATGAGCAATGGCACTACGTCTCCGTTAGAAAGACAAAGGACATGCTCAGAGTAGATGTCGATGATCTACATTCAAAGGAGGAGAAACGGCGCAACGGCGATGAAGTGGTAAGTACAATAATGGTTAGAAAGAATGGAATCAAAGATCTGCGCTAGAAACAACTCTCTGTTCAGTAATCAAATCAATCCCTTTAGCTGACTCCTATAAAAGGGTCTGTAATTTCGATAATATTGGCGACAAACAGATTTGAAAGAAAATGCTCCACATTTCCTTGCATCTACAAATTCTTAAAGTGTGCACATTTCAGAAACTTATCAGCTTTGGGACAGTTCTCCCTCGTTGGCATCATACTTGCTACTTAATAAGAATGAAGGCAGAATTAACCTAAGAAGACTAATTTGTCAGATCTGATATAAAAAGAATCGTATTCATTCGTATTCATATTAAACATTCAAAAATTATCAGATAGCGGGAAACCGAACGGGTCCCGAAGCGAGCGCGCCTGCCTAGCACCTTTGAGATTACTGGTTCACTAGTTTAAAATCATTAAAACTAAAGAGGAAAATATTGTGAGAAATAAGAAAGCTAGCTTAATCCACGCAACTTGCTTGATATCGTTTATGTACCCCAGATGAATGATTTTACGTTTCGCAAGCGCTTCATACACTTACTAATTAAGTGTAATTTGATGCAAAGTAAAATCAAATTGAATCTGATAGATTTTTGCGAATGCAAAGTTTACCATTCATGTCATGTCGTATCGGTTACATTGCATTTGGTAAGCTTAGCAGATACAGTAGATTAGGTACTAACTGCAGTTTTTTCTCTTTTTTTTTCATTCTATCCTTTTTATTTTACAGGAACGCCATTTAGTAGTGAGTTTGGAGATATTTTTTATCGAGAAACGCTAACCCATTTTGTTCTTCTGTTACTTGATTTTCATTTTGGTTTTTCTTTCTTAACAACTTGATTTCTTCTTCTTGCGATGGTGTGATAGTGGATTACGGTAGAAAAGCTGTGCAAAACTAGGTTTTTCAAAATTTCAAGTTTGCAGTAACACTGCTTTCAAAAACAAAATACAGGGAAGAAAGCTTTTGTTACTAATTGTATTAATGAATTCAAAATTTGACTCACTGCAAGAGAGTCCTTTTAGACACCCGGGGAAAAAGCGACGATTCTTTTCGGAAGACATGACGATGCATCCTTTGTTGGTTGCGTAGGTGATGTGTCCTATAACGGTCAACTTCTCGATTTCGCAAAGGTACGTCTATATTTTTTGTGTAAAGGGTAGCTATTGATTTATTGATTTTCAGGCCAAAATCCATGAGGTTTCACTAACCGGATGCTCACTTGCCGCCGATGTTATCAAGACGACGGTTGCACCAGCGGAAGCTGCTGTCATAGCCCAGGTAGCCTAAATCAAGTCGGGTAAAGACTTAGTGAAAAAAATAAATTTTTTAGGTCCCGCCCCATGCACCTCAACAAGTAGCAGAAACTACAACGACAACAACCACTACTACCACTACTACACCAGCTCCTACTTCAGCGCAAACTGAGGCGAGTTATTTTCCCCAAAAAAATTCTCAAAAATTTTCAGAGTTACAAAATCAACAAAGAAGCTTGTAGCCAGAGACTACAAGTACAGTACCTACTACTACGTCGACTACCAGTACTACTAGTACTACTAGTACGACAACTACCACTAAGAAACCAGCTATAACCAAGAAACCTCGTCCACCGGTCACTAAGCGACCTCCCATGGTAGCAAAACCAGTGCTACCGAAAAAAGCAAAAAATATTACAAAACCGGAACCAAAGATGAGAACGACGGCGGTGCTCACGACAAAACCTCCAGCAAAGTCGATAGAAGTCCCCATGGTGCCGGCGACCATTCCGCCAACGTCGATAGAAGTTCCCATGGTACCAGAAACCAGTCCGGCAACGTCGATAGAAGTCCCCATGATGCCAGAAACCAGTCCGGCTCCGGAGGTCACTTTGGAGCCAACCGCCCCTGCAGGCAAAGGCACTGTGAGTGGAGCGAGTAGCGTACCACGCATGGCTTGCTTCACTGTCTTCTAAGCTTTGATTAATGAGAAACATAGTCCAACCAGAAGAATGAAATGTTTATTCACAGCGCTTTAGACTTTCTGTTTGTGCAATAATTGTGTGATCCAAGCAACGTGCAAGCGGGCATGGCTACCGCCTGTGAACGTATGGTAGCCACGCCCACTCCTGCGTCACGTTACGGTAACTTGTCAAAACGTGCATTTGATAATAGCTTTCGTTGGGAAAACATGTACAAAATGGCGATTGATGTATAGAATGAGGGTGTGGCATATGTTTGCGAATTCAAATTCGATATTTAAGAAAGCTCTCCCGCCCAGAGTATTATGACATTAAATGAGTGATATATGCCGCAGAAATTTCGATAAAAACTGCAGTACTTTCTAAGTACATCTTCTTTGTTACAATCAGGTTTTGGACCATGTTTTCCCCGGCTTCCGCTTTTCCCCTTTCCTTTCTGGATGATCTGTCCAGCCACTGTATAACTGTTTGATATGGCTACACTTCGCTTCCGAAAACTTTGCTAACAATACTTCAATAATGCTTATCCCCTGGCTATAGCTTTGTTCTATGTTCTGGAAAGTCACAAGTTATATTTTAGCCGGTTCCTGAAGGAGCATGCGCATTGCGTCTAGAACCGCTACTGTACGAGGACGAAGTGGATGCAAATCGTTTCGGATTACAGCCAAACAGTCGTATGGAGTACGATATCGTACCGGACTCGTTTGACAAGAGGTACGGTAATTTTGATCGTCCATTTCTGCAGAAAAAAATTATGACATGTTCTAGTGGAACGTTCTCGCTGCAACTTCGTGCTACCGCCTCTAACGGGGTGATCCTATTCGCTACTAACGATAAGCACACCGATCATGTCGGTCTATTCCTACTCAATGGACGAGTTATCCTGTCGTTTGATACAGGAACTGGACAGGTGAGCGCGAATTCAGAAAATGTCACAAAATTATAAAGAAATTCACCTTCAGACCCTGATCCGCTCGAATCGCTCCATTCTCACTGGCGAGTGGCACTCCATCAAGGCTAGTCGCCGTGGAAACGAAGGATCTCTGATCGTTGATGACGAGTCAGCTGAAACTTCGGGTGTCCCAGCTGGTACGGATTCCATCGACACTCAACCACCCCTGTACCTGGGAGGTATCCCAAATGAACTGTCTAGCTATACCCGAACAATATTACCTGTAAGTGAAATTCTAATAAACTCCTCTTACCGTATCGTTACCGTACTCTTCAGGGTGTGAGATCGGAATTTGGTGGTTGCATTCGAGATCTGAAACTAAATGATAAGAAATTTGATACCACCGCTAGAGAACATGGAGTAGGCGAGTGCAAAAAACACACTGAGAGCGGTCTATATTTCGGAAAGGAAGGCGGCTATGCCATTTTGAAGAAAGAGTTCCAGGTATATTTTCCGTTGCCTTCAAAAATATTAATTATCGGATTTTCTTGTTCAGGTTGGCCAGTCATTCTCGGCTGAGATGGAAGTCCGGCCGCGAACTCAGAATGGAGTCCTGTTCTCTGTCGGCGCTGTTGAATTCCTTACCGTACAGTTTTTGAATGGCTCCGTAAAGGTAAGTTATCCGTCTTAAAGTCCCTCAAATTTTTAAGAGTTTTCTCCTTACTCTGCTTTTCAGTTTACTGTGGACAGCGGATCAGGTCCCGAAGCACTTATTTATAACCCTACAGCTCCGAATGTGCTCTGTGACGGACATTGGCATTCAATCAAGGTCTTTACTCACTTATACCGTAACTCTGACCATCTAGGTCTCTTCAAACCCTATATTTTCAGATTATGAAGAAAAAGAACCTTATGACTTTGACTGTGGATGGCAAGAGCAATCTCAACATCATGAAGAAGAGCAAGAAGCCTGAGACCATGACCAAAGATCCTATTTATCTAGGAGGAGTTCCCGAATCCGTCACAAGCAAGGGTTTGGAGACGAGAGGTGAGAGCTTTGACTAATTTCCCTTTTGTGAGCCCCTTTTATCAAAAACAAATTTTCCAGAACCATTCGTTGGCTGCGTCCGTATCATGAATCTCGGTGGAGGAAAGAGAGATAAGAACAGAATGAAGAAGCAGCTGGATGTGTCTAAACTAGACGTTTTTGGTGATGTCAACAAACAAGAATGTCCACTAGATTAGCTCTGTGCCTAGTTTAAAATGCCTTTCGATTCCTAGTGCCTTTCTTGCTGCTTTGTTACTTCTCCATTGTACTTAAAACTTTTTTTTTCGACCCTCTGTCTGTCTTGCCGCTTTATTACTTCTCACAGTTCGTTTTTTTAGCCTTATTTGTGAATAAACTGTATTGCTTTTGGCTAGCAGATGACTAGTGATACTACGATCAACTTTCCATAAATCTTGACTCATTCAGGAAAGCACTAGGTAGCATAATCTTCGCCTCGTAATTCGTCACGGAACTGCATGTGCTTGAATTAGCGATCCCAAGAGATAAATGCACAAGTGCGCTAATATTTCTCTCACCTGGACCGCTTTGACTTTCTTTTATCTGTGTGAGGCTAAGTCAATTGAGTTACAATAGAAAACGCATTGATGCCTCTACATCATCAGTTAGTTGACCAAGTCATGCAGGTCCATCACAGAAGTTTTCATATCTGCTGCCCCTTCTGGAACCTCCACGACGCTCCCAGCAGTCAATGGCCGTTTTTTCAAGCTCCAAGTCCAAAGTCTTACTTGGCAGTAAATGGCCAGAACTTACAAGGGAAGGATACTGACTTGGATTCGTCTTTTGAGATGAGACACATATATTTGGAACCAGCTTGGAATGCTGATTACAAATATGCTGTTTCTAGCTGCTTAGCATTATTCTTAAGCGAGTTATGGTCTCTTTTCTATGCAAAATTTGCGTGCTCCTCGATCTAGTGATGCTACGGTGTAGACGTCTAGATGATTTCGCAATTGTAAAATACTCCTTTTCAAGATCGAAATAATTAATCTGAGGCTAGTTCAACATTCTAGCACTTTTTTCGAGCAGATTCTTATCTACACGCCGTCTTACGACATTTAGAAGTTTGTTAGTTACACGCAAAAGCAAGCCCATAACTCGCCTCGGAATAATGCTACGCAGCTAGTAACAGCATATTTGGAATCAGCGTTCAAAGCCGATTCTAAATATATGTGTCCCATATCAAAAGGCGAATCTAAGTTGGTATCCTTTCCTTGTTAGCCCAGCCATTTGGGCTATACATCGTTGCACTCGTCTTGCAACGCTGATCTCAAATACACGTTCATTATCTGCTAAACTATGTGGAAGGGTTTACGAGCGTTTGAATGTGCGGATTTGTTAAGTACCTTGTAGCGCTTCAAGAAAAACGTTTCAAAAACACTTATTTAGGTTTCTGGTAAATGTGCTTCTCCCTTGTAAATAGAGCACTCATAACACTCTGCTTATACGCCATCAGTCCGTCTTGCAGCAAAGTAGTATATCCGTTACTCGAATAGTTTTTCATATCTGGACGCTGAAAACTCCTTCCACATAGCCGTTCTACAATTAATAAACATATATTAATTATCAGCGTTTCGAGGCGAATCCTATGATATGTCTGGAATGGGTTTAATTTCTGACCATACCCTGCTCAGTCAATTTCTCAGCCTATCCATTCGTCCCACGCACAATCCGCACATCTCTTTAGTACCTTCAGGGTGTTTTGCGTCGCGGGTACCCACTTTGGTATTCTTGGTGTTCATCTGTCATCTGTTCTTCCCATGATCTGACGGCTTGTGGATATATCGTTTTCGCAACAATTTCATTAGATCACAATAGGAGAAATACCTCTCGCATCCGTACTGCAGTCCGAAGAAAAGTTGCTTGCGTCGGATAATTCTCAAAAGACTGCGCTCAAACGGATATTGCGTAGCCTGTAGATCTTTTAACGTGGCTGCAGCATCGGCCGAGGTCCCAGCTGCGTAAAAGAACGCTGGAAGCGAAAGAACTGTGTTAAGTGGGTTTTGACTCCGTCAGCTGATCGATCGTTTTCTACAGAGGCTAGCGGCCGGATCGCTTTTCTTCTCCAGTAACTCCTTACCTCAAACCGTTCTCCATATTGATCGAACGTCCAAAAACATGAAAGAAGCGTCTTCGTGGAGAAGGTTACCCTCCACTTCCATTTCGGTATTTTCACGGTAGGCGTTCTTCAGAATCTGATTTTTTCTCCAGTTTGAAGTCCGACCTTTTTCTACACTTCGTTGGGTTCCTTCAGCAAAGTTTCTGATTCAGTAACACTTTTGTAAGAAAAACAATGCCCTCCTACAAGACCGTGGTGAACAGCTTCAGCGAATTAGTGTCGCCCTGTCGGAACTCCTTCCCGATAGTATGGTCAGGCAGAGGTGGAGTGGCTTTACTGCTGTCGTGGAGTCCTTCAATCGGGTAATGTCCTCATGAGCTGTATCCACTTCTTGATCAAATGTATATCTAATGTATCGAATGTATATCCTTGATATCCAATGCGCTGGTCCCGACCCATTTGAGAGCTTGAAAATGGCGAAAACGACCGTTTTCCAATGTCCTTTGCTTTGAAATTGGACGAGTGAAGCAAGGCCGAAGACGCTCAATCGTTACGGACCCAATGGTTATAGCATTGCGGTGGGCAGCCTCCAATGGTGAGAGGAGAATTTTCAGCTCGTCTGAGAGTGTGTAAGACTGACTTGCGCGTGTAAGTTTGAGAGCGACTTTTGGCAGGGAAGGCATGCCCTGCGACCGGGATTGCACTGTCCTACTTGGGTGATAAACAGACTACCGCGTCAAGGAGATGTTAAATATTGTCGCTCCACTGTCTTTAAAGAAGCAGACGGAACTCCCAACAGACTTTCATGTCCCTTGGAACCAGTGGCGTACCCAGGATTTCGGCTTGGGGGGGGGCCGACAAAAATTTTTTCTAAAGAATGTGCGTGGCGTTAGCCACGCACCGAAAAAATTTTGGGGGTGCTTCCCAAAATTTTTTCGGGTCCCCGACCCCTAGAATCTGGAAAAAGGGGTGTGGCGTCAGCCACGCCCCCGAAAAAAATTTTTTTACAAGGCTAATTTGAATTTTCAAAAATTTTTAAAAATTATTTAATTATTTACAAAAATAAACAAGTCACTTACACATTTTTATAACCCATATAAGTAACTTTCAAAAATTTCGCGACCCATTCTCGGGGAGGGGGGCGCGCGCCCCCCCCCCCCCTTCGGTACGCCACTGCTTGGAACCTATGTAGATGTAAGGCCTTTTTAGAGGTGGTCCATGCAGTTGAATTCCTTCCCAATTCCTTCCCAAATCTAGCTTGTATTGGAACGTCCATCCGTTGCAATGATAGCTTGGAGGTAGCTCCCCAATCTTTGAGAAGGAAGGTCCCTGAGATTTCCAAAGGCATCCGGGCAGATTTGGGAGCACTTTAAAGTCAATGGATTACAGCAGCACGCTGATCGGAACTTCCGGAACGATTCCAGCACAGTTCTCGAACTGTGCTGCATGCGCGGCAAGTGCCCGCAAGCAGTTTTGAGGGGCGGGAGATGGAGATTCTTGACCGTTTTCAACTGTTCTCTGTCACTCATTGCGGTTTCCCCTACTCCTCTTCCCCTTCTGATGAGGAGAGCCTCCATTTTGAAGCGAGGTTGCAGAATGAGCACCATTCTGCTCGCTGTATCCGGGGTTGGAGAACGAGCGACATCAGCTTGCATGTATCTAAGAAAATGTCTTCGTGCGCTCGTCCATTCTCTCTTTTTTGTTCAGACCTATAACGTATGCGGGAGAGCTCTGCATCGTTTCCACAGCCATCTACCTTGAGCTAGGGTATGCAAACAATTCTCAAAATACGTAAAATCGGAAATTCTCCCTAATTTTCTGATGTTTCACTTTTGGGCATTCTCCGCTCCCTTCCTTTTTTCATGTCATTAATTCTTTTTTTTCAACTTCGCTTCTTCTCGTAATGAAAGCTGCGAACTTGAAGCATGGTTGAAGAATGAATGTTTCTGCTCCGTGTATCCGGGAATATGTGTCTTGCGCGTTCCTCCATTCTTTCTTCGTCGTTTATGGAACCTACTTCAAGTATGCTAGAAAGCTGTTTTTGCACTACTCAGTACAGGTGGGAAACTATAGTTCAATTATAAAATTGTGACGACGGATCTCACTGCGCGCACAGAAACATAAAACTCTCATAGAAGAAGGCATCACCTCAATGTTCAGCTCGGTCACTTCCAGTGTTTAAATATTATCATAATAAGCAAAGAAACCATTCCACTATAGATGAAAACCAAGAAAATGCGGTTTCCGGAAGGGGCGTGCGTGTCGCGCGCGGTCGCGCCATCGTCACGATTTTTCAAATGCCCTATACGCATTCTACAACCTGAGGTAAACGTGACGAAGAAAGAATGCATGAGCGCACGAAGACATATTTTCCCGGAAACATGCAAGCACAACGGCGCTCATTTTCAAACCCCGCTTCAAGATGGAGGCTCTTCTCAACAGAAGGGGAAGAGGAGTAGAGGAGTGAAACCGAAATGAGTGACTGACAAGGAGGGTCCGATTGGTCGAAGTGGCCTTTCCGAATGAATCATATGCCATTTTGAAGAGCTTTGAACGCTGATTCCGAATCTGTCCTCGTTATCTGCCTAGCGCCTCTGGACGCCGAGTTATGAGCGTTTTTTGGATTGGAAAAATGAATGCGTAATTGGAACAAAATTCGTCAAAATTGCTCAAATGGTCAATTTTGATTATCAGAGCACTCCGTTCAAAACACCTTCTGTACAAAAGACTCATATTACATACTGCTCTACTTAAGCGCTGGAAAATCCGTAACAGTTGATTTTACTTGGATTCTGCGTTCATTTTTCGCTCCAAAAACATTCATAACTCGGCTTGCAGAGGCGCTGGCAGATAGCGAAATCAGATTCGGAATCAGCGTTTAACGCTCTTCAAAACGGTATACGGCTAATTCAAAAAGGCCACTTCGACTAATTGGATTCCCTTGTGAGAGAAAAAACCGTTGAAAGCGGTAAAAGATCTCCAACTCCTGCCGCTCAAAAACACATGCGCACGGCTGCAGCTCACGACGCATAGTTCCGCCATAGTTTTCTCGAAATTCCGGATTAGTGTGAATCCATAGGGTTCACACTAATCTAAGGCATACCTCACAATTTGAATCGCGACGTCTACGAACTTGGCGTTCTGCCACATTTTCACAGATTCGTCGTGGGAGGTTCTTGAATGCATGGGCGCTACTTTTGTAAGGTCTTGCGAACGGATCAGCTCCTGTCCAAACAAATGGCCTAACGACCAGTTACAAACAACCGC